TGTCTTTGGGGAATATCTGTCAGACTTTTATCAGAAAGTGTAACTATACTATTCAAATATGGATGAACAAGGAAGCGGATTTTTTTACTTCCTTCGTCTTTGCTTGATAAATAATTCTGTTCGAAGATCACTAAGACCAACTAGCTAAATTGATAAGATTTTGTTTCAAATATTTATGTTACAACCCAAATGCTCTTTTGCAGTGGTGTGCTTGTCGTTACGTTATCGGACCTTCTGTAAGCCAGGTACAACACTATCAGTTTTCTGTTATATTTTGCATGTGCATAGTCTTAATTCTGGGATAGAATACAATATCTCGATCGATATATATCGACCTCTGACCAATTTGTGAAATGAACGTGAGCTGCATATCTGCATACTCTTGATCTTTGTGGCCAGATATGTAAATTAGATTTTCGAAATATATACTTGTATTATAAGGCAAGCTCGGGACAAAGCACCTGGATAGTGACTCATGGTGAGAAGATAAGAATAACTACTTATCGACAACAAGTGCAAGGTTAAGATTTGCAATCAGGATGTTTGTTTTGTGTGAAACATGTTAGGACTGTCACAAGAGCTTCAGATAATAAATAACCTTGCTTTTATTCTTTTGTAAATGTTGATCCTATTTTCGTGTTATCACTACTGAATAAGATAATCGTTTCTAAAACATAGGAAATGGTATGGTCACCAGTCGCCAAACAGGTTATATTTTTTATAAGAATGTATTTCTTTTTAAACATAAAAATCAATAGCTATAACTTCTGTAACACGTACTTTCTATTTACGCTATTTGTGGCGTGTTTACCCGACACAAACAATGGTACAGGTTACCTGGTTCGTTAGTAATTACATTATCCTTCACCTCTGGCTATGGAGATTTGTATATTGTTCCGTTCCACTCAGTGATTTCTATGATGCTGGAAACACGAGCTGTTTAAGAGCACACGAATGGTATTCTCAGGTAGAACTGAAACAAGATTTCGATTATTTTGGAGACAAGTATAGAAATATATCGGTAAGTTTTCTTTTTACTTTCCTTTTCATATTTTTACCTGCACCAGTAACCATTCATGAAGCAAAAACATAAACTTAAGTTTTATTCAAACTTTATTTTAGGGTTTGTTTGAGTTTTGCTTTAGACATCTTGAGAGAAAAAACCCAGTAATAGTTTATACACGTTTAAACAAGCAATTGTAGATATATAAATCGGTTTAATATTAACCTAGATTAGATTTAGTTTCTTACCTGCTTCTTACTTTATATCTTTATTATTGTTATATAAATAAACATGTGCAGAAAATATATATTTGAATACTCCATAAAGAAATGAAGGCTTGATAACATACATAGATAATAAGACTAAGTAACATACGCAGATAGTAGGACTTGATTTACAAACAAATTTAGTAAAACTTTGTAATATATACGTATAGTAAGACCTGGTAACATACACAGATAGTAAGACCTGGTAACATACACAGAGAGAAGGACTTGGTAACTTACACATAAAATAAGACTTGGTAGCAAACACAGATAATAAGACCTGGTAACATACACAGAGAGTAAGACTTGGTAACATACACAGATAGTAAGACCTGGTAACATACACAGATAGTAAGACTTGGTAACATACACAGATAGTAAGACCTGGTTACATACACAGATAGTAAGACTTGGTAACATACACAGATAGTAAGACTTTATAACATACACAGATAGTAAGACTTTATAACATACACAGATAGTAAGACTTGGTAACATACACAGATAGTAAGAATTGGTAACATACACAGATAGTAAGATTTGGTAACATACACAGATAGTAAGACTTTATAACATACACAGATAGTAAGAATTGGTAACATACACAGATAGTAAGACTTTATAACATACACAGATAGTAAGACTTGGTAACATACACAGAAAGTAAGAATTGATAACATACACAGATAGTAAGAGTTAGTGACATACACAGATAATTAGACTTGATAACATACACAGATAGTAAGACTTGGTAACATACACAGATAGTAAGACTTGGTAACATACATAGATAGTACGAATTAATAACAAACACATGTGGTAAGACCAGATAACATACACATGTGGTAAGACTTTGTAACATACACAGATAGTAAGACTTGGTAACATACAGAGATAGTACGAATTAATAACAAACACATGTGGTAAGACCAGATAACATACACATGTGGTAAGACTTTGTAACATACACAGATAGTAAGACTTGGTAACATACAGAGATAGTACGAATTAATAACAAACACATGTGGTAAGACCAGATAACATACACATGTGGTAAGACTTTGTAACATACACAGATAGTAAGACTTGGTAACATACAGAGATAGTACGAATTAATAACATACACATGTAGGAAGACGTGGTAACATACACAGATAGCAATTGTCGATAACATACTCAGATAGGTAGGCTTCGTATCATACACACATAGTAATTCTTGATTACATATAAAAACAGTAGCACTTGGTGCTGACAAATATAGTTGGACTTATACATATACGGAGATATTAGAGATTTTGTAACGGAAACAGATATTAAGACTGTGTAAACATAACTTAGTTTTGTTATGCTATATAGTTTAGGATTCTTAATTATATATGTATATATTTTTTTTTTTAAATGTAGTTTTTTTGCAATGGAGTCATTGTTTTTGGCGACTTGATATATCCAGACTTCAGAAACTCTTTCCCGGGATCAGGTGCATACTTAGCTCCTTTTTTGAGGTATTACTATTGTTGTTATAATATAAAATACCCTTGCTGGAAGGAGGTAACCTCTGAACAGGAACTTGAACGAGCAGGAGAGGAGATCACGTCATACTTTCCAGAACTGATGAACTTCAATGTTTCCTTGATGTTTATAGTGTCGTGGATTGATGTAATTGACGACTGTTATTCTTCAATTGAGGTAAACCACCAAGAAACAATCGTAGTTTGGAATTACTTGTTCTCAAACCCGATGTTGTTGCTCTCTTTATCATTGTAGATTATTGTATAAGCGTATAAAATTCAAATAATGGGACAGAAGCGATGGTATTGTTCAATTGGTTGTTAATCTTGGGTACCAAAAACAGTGAGATTTTTAAAGTACATATATCAGACACAATGTCAAATTCACAAACACAAATGTCACAAAAATACCTAATAGGAAAATGAGAAATGTAAGTAATGCCTTAACATTGCTAAGATGATGCATTACAATATATTTATTAAGTAGAGTGTCTATGCCTTAATTGAATTTCGTCTGCCATGTTCATGAATGGTCTCATATTTATGTTGCCCAGTTTCTACTCGTACGGACAGTACCCCACATCTTTATTCACGTGCCATAATAAAAAAATGATAAGATTTCTTAAACTTCAATTTGAAATTTCTTACCGATTGGTCAATTATTCTAATTAAACCGAAGTTTCTCAGTTTGGGTACATATTTTCCTTTTCCTTGCCCTTAATTACGATATCGGTTTAGAATTGTGCGTTGTTCATCCTCAAAGTTACAGTTTTGAAAGTTGTTCAAACAATGCTTTATAATTATGTTTACTAGTTCATGTTGCCCGTCTCGACATCAGAATTTACTTTATCATAATAGCACGGTACAAAAGATTAAATTGGAGGAGTTGTTATTAAAACGTGCTATCAAAGGTTGGGTTAAAGTGTATCGAATGCATCAAACTTCTGTCATTAGTACGACTATTAATGAGTCCTACACACTTTATTATATATCGTCCATTTACACTGTCGGCGGTGGTTATATCTTTTTATTGTCAAACGATCGATTGTTTTCCACATTAGTTAGTACATAACGTATGCAAGAACACGTGTATGATCCATCAAAGACTAGGGTTGTCAGGAAAAATACCGAAGGTGTCAAGAAGACCAGTAATGAACGTTAACGTCACTGATGTCCCTATAATACCTTTACCACCATACGTGGTATTTCACTTATTGTCGTTCAATATTTCGATAATGATACGAGAACCAGGTACGATATATATGCAAGACCACACACTTGTGTTTTTCTAACGAAGCAGAAAGCACGAGTTATTGCGAGGACGAATATTATTCACGAGTGAATATATACGTCCGCGCAATAAATGAGTGCTTTCTGATTCGTTAGAAAAATACAAGTGTGTGGTCTCGTTTTTATCACATACCTTCCGTATTTGGTAGAGATCGATACAAAGATTTTATAAACTTTGATATTGTGTTTTCCAAATACGGGGAACTTTTCAGTTCGCCATGACAAGGGGATTCCCATAAAAAGTAGTTCCGGCTAGTAGGTAAATACAACATTCCGTATTGCACATGTGCAATACAGAACGTTGTATCACTATAACAAGATTCAACAGGTATGTGATAAATTCATATATTTGATTGTGTAGATTGTATTTTGTAGAATTATGTTTGATATTATTGTGAGGAGTTTGACTTGTTACAATAAATTACGTATAGTTGTGAAAGTACGTCAATATTATTAATGTTGCATGTGATTGTGAAAAAATTAATACATAATTAATTATCTGTTTACTCATGTTTGATATCATTTTAAATAACTTTTAACGAGGTTGACAGTTAAATTGTGTTTAATATAATTGTGCGGCTTACGAGAAGTTAGAAAAATATTTATATGATTGTTAGGAATTGTGTTATTGTTAACATGTACGTGATTGTTAAGAGGACAACAATTTGATATTATCTAATATATGTTTGACAAGAACATCCAAGTAACATCTCTGTCATCTGTTTGAAGGGAAGGTTATGTAAAATAGTCATTTGTTGTCTGTTATAATGCAATAAGTGTGACATGCTTAATTGTATTTGACACTCTTGTTTCAGGCCTTCTCTAAGAAGTACATTTCAAGCTGTACTGATCAGTGACGGTGTGTTGTCATTCGTAATTTATAATTACAACAAAATACAACACGCTTGGAATTATAGATGGGAACTTAATAACATGTACAAGTATGCAAAGGTAAGGTTATTTTAACATCCTGTTCATATTGTATGGCAATCTCGCATCCATTCATTGTTTTTGTGGTAATATTGACCTGTTTTTTTATAAATGAAATATTTTAATCCTCGTCGTACTAAATTGTTTATTGTAATCAATGCACAATAAAAAAGAAAATGTAAAATATTTGCCATACGTATAGAGGGGACACAGATTTAATGGTAACCTTCACCAGAAAACTACTTGTTAGAAAGGATTAATAACTTCATATTAAATTTAATTAATGTAAACATGCGTTAACTTTAAGGTTGGCTTCAATAAGGGAGGTGATACCCACTACTACGCTGTGGAGGGATCAGGCACGGAGGAAATCGCCACGGTGGTGTCCCGTAGTAACGTCAACAAGACGGGAAAGTTCGTCTTCAGACTCAATGGTTACATGGCACGTCCTGTAAAGGTCGCCGACATAGTGTTTGTCATAGACTCCTCCTACAGCGAGTCGGCTTTGTTTGACAGTATCCTCCAGTACATAGTAGACGTTACTGACAATCTGACCATAGCTCCCAACGACACACAGGTGGCTGTTGTAAGTTTTTCCAAGACAGCCAATGTGGAGTTCGATTTCTTTTTTTGTCAGAAAAAGGACTGTATTCACGAGCGTGTGCTAAATACATCCCATCTTAACAGTACTTCTCACATGGAAACCGGACTAGAAAAGGCAAGGTACGTACGTAGTGCAATAAATCCCTATTGAAGATTTTTTCGTTCTTCCATCTATTGTTTCCAAACACTGAGCGGACAGTTATTTATGAGTCAGATATTCAAAAACTGAATCATTTTCATTTCTCTTTAGCAAAAAGTATTTTCTGAGGTTAAAGTTCACCGAGTGACTTGATTTCGCTTTACCTACAGAGACATTTTCCGGTGGACCAAAGGAGGAAGGCAGTCTGCCTTGAAGTATGTTGTTGTGGTCAGCGACGGACTGGTCAATGACAGGGAGAAAGCCATAAATAGTGCAAGGGGTCTGTCTAATGGAAACGGTGATATCAGGGTAGTCAGTGTTGGACTGGGCAGGTCTGTGTATCACACCGTGCTGGAGAGTGTGGCCTTCAACAGTTCGTACTTACTGGCGTCAGATCCCAGCAAACTACTGGACCTTCTCCAATGGGATCTACACGATAAGAACAGTACAGGTAAACTACATTTGTCTGTAATTGTGATTGTATCTATATAATCTGAAACAAAAATAAGACTGCTTAACTATTATATAACTATGTCTAGTTATTCGTCTGTATATTTTTTCACAGGATGTGAAACCAAATACAGTGCTGATATGCTATTATTAGTGGAGACATCGGCAACACGGAGCGGCAAAACGTTTAAGACGGTGCTGAACTTCCTACAAACATTTCTCGATAAAATCAGCTCCTATCATACCAATCACACTGTTACCATCAGTATAGCCACACATGGTACCAAATTAGAGTACGTCGTAAAGGGATGCCATCTGTCAAATCTGCCGTACATGATGGACGCCATCAAGGAACTGAGACAGTCGCCGGATAACAGACCAGACTGGGACAGTGTGATGACGTTTGCAGGTACTCACACATCCTACAGTAGTGTTGGGACCAGGAAGTACGTCATATTTGTCACAACCGGTCTCATACCAGAAGAATCTGTTGCGCACGTGAGAACACAAGTCAGACATTTACGCGAAAACAACGGGGCGAGTGTAGTGATGATTGGGGTAGCTGACAACACAAATTGGACAGTACTTGAAAATGTGTATGATTGTGGATTCTTCACCTTCTCTACAGAGGATGTGGATATCGTGTCACGTGTTCTGTGGAACGATATAAAATCCACTAACTGTACCACATTTGAGAAAACATAAGCTGTCCTACAGATGCTATTTAACTTGTGTATTATAACAAGCAATACTGTAGGCATGACTTTTATAACAATCCATCAGAGAGTAGCGTAAACAGATGTCTGAAACGTGAAGTCATTAGATATACCTATCTTCTTATCAAATCATATAACTTCACTCAAACGGATGTATAGAAATAGGAAGGTTGAACAACTTGAAATGAATGTGTGTAAAGCAAAGTATAAATTGAAACTCTGCGGGTCGGGGACAAAAAAGGAAATTTTCTGGTATTTATTCTGGTTCATATTGCAATATCATAAATAGGAATTGTAGTAACATTTTAGATAATGGTATATCATCTTTATTTTATAGACCAAATCAAGAACAACAATATGTGAATAAAATTGTAAATATTTCGTTTGCTTTAACCTATACCTAAATTATAGACAGCTTTGAAACATACATGGAGTTAAAAACAAAACATTCAGTGTTTTGAGATAACATTTATATCAAATCCATTCTACTATTGATCCTTATATATTTTTCCTTTAAACTACTGCTTGACAAACTCGGATGCAACTTCTTTGGTGATCACTGTCCTCGGACTGAGATAAATTATACATGTTTCATAGACAGCCTTGAAACCTGCATTGAGTAAAAACAAAACATTCAGTGTTTTGAGATAAACAAAATATCAAATCCATTCTACTATTGATCCATTAATGTGTTCCATTAAACTACCGCTTGATGAACCCTGATGTAACTTACTTGGTGGTCACTGTCTCCGGACTGAGATAATCCTTCTAGTAACGACAGTCAAGGATGACCAGCAGTGGGCATGGGTTCTCTAAGTTGGCAAAATCACGAACATTATCCCAAAATTAATTCTGCAAAAAAAGAAAGGGCATACTGGGGTGATGATATTTGAAGGCAGAAGCCTGTATGAAAAGGACATTTTTTTCGCCTGCTGTGGAGTTTATCAAGGACTGAGACCACCCAGAAAAGAGGTAATATGAATGGTATTATAGAATGCACATATACTCCTTCTGGAAACATGTCTCCGTTTCCTCTGACACCACACGCCATTCGTTCTTTTTTAGCAGTCAATGAGCCATTTCTTTTACATGCATGAGGTTGACGTCATGCTTGAGCGAGCATCCTACTGTTAGCTGGTATTTTTGTGAATATGTTCACTATATATATATATTCCCGAACATGACGATAACTTCATGAATATGAAAAAAGTAGTTATATGACTAAGAAAAACGTTGAAAGATCGAAATGATGTGTGGTGTCGGAGGAGCTTTCCTCACTCCTTGTATATATACCTTCATCGGAGGTGAGGGACATTTTTACAGACATTTGCTCTATATCCCTAAAACCTGTAATACTACTTCGCATACCTCAGTGCATGTCTAAATATAGCTGTAACACATTATCAAGCCCCTGAGGTAATAGCGTGTAATTAGCAGGTGAGTGTATTTCCTGTGAACGTGTCTGGCGGACTTATTTTTCAAGTAAATTTTACCAATGTATGACTCGCCAAGTTTTCCGTCATTTATTTTCATGTCTTGGAGGATATCTGTCAGACTTTTCTCATTGGTTATCAATATATGTAATACTATTCACATATGCATGAACAAGGAAGGGAAATTTAAACTTCCTTCGACTTTATGTTAGACATATTCTTCTGTTTCAATTTCACTAAGATCGACTGACAAAGTTAAATGAGAATTTGTTTCTTTTAGTGATGTTCCAGTCGAACTGTCCTTTAGCATTGTGTGCTGGTCGTTACGTTATCGGAATAACTGTAATTTAGCCAAGCATAGTCAAAATGTTGTCTGTTATATTGCACATGCGCATTGCCTTTATCATGGATAATAAACAAATCTCGATCGTTATATCGACCTCTGATAAACCATTTTGGTGAATGAAACTTGAGCTGAATACTTGCATACGCCTGACGTTTGTGGCCATATATGTATATTAGCAAGCGACAATTTGAGAGAACTATGTCGATTTTCGAAATATACATTATAAGGCAAGCTCGCGGCGACAAAACTCACCTGGATAGTGAGTCATGGTGAGAGGTAAAAATAACCTCTACATATCAACACCAAGTACAAGGTAAAGATTTGTAGTCGGGGTGTGTGTTTTGTGTGAAACACGTAAAAAAAGGCCATGGGGATACAGATAACAAATAGCCTAGCTTTTATTATTTTGTGAAATGTTGATTCTATTTTCGTTTTATCACTACTGAAAAGCGTCATCGTTTCCAAGGGCGCGATTAAATGCCCAATGCCACCAAATATTACCCAATACTATACCTTATACCACCAAATACTACCCAATACCACCCAATACAACTCAAAACTGTTCCTGATATTACCTCAATACAATACAAATCTTAAGATACAACAAAAGTTTAATTCCGTCGCTGGTATTTTTCACAGAAAATGCGTTATTTGATCGGAATACTACACAATACGACCAGAATGCTACCGCATATGACCCAATACTACCCATGTCTACACAATTCTATCATACAAAGACCGCATGCTTGTCAACTTTCCATGTTATATGTCTATTTACATCAGTAAATGGTTGTTGGGCTTTCGTCAGAGTTAACCGTTGCCGAAATAGATAATCTATTGTATCAATTCATAATAAACAATGAGAAAATATTTCTGAGTTATTCCCCTTTACACAGTGACGTCTCGCAGATGATTGTCACAATAATCTAATTTATTTAGTTTTTGAATAAATTATCATTATCTCATTATTCAGTCAAATTACACAAATGTCATGCACAATGACGACGTATGCATCACAACAGTTACTTTTTACACTATTGGCATCAATTTCCGTTTCCTACTTAACAAAGAACTATTCCTGGAAATTCTAAAAATCAGTTTCATCTTCACATTTAAAAAGAAAATATGAATGAAAGGTCTACCATGAGTATTTTTAACTTACTAAACAATGAAATTTAAAATATCAATGTTTAATGAAAATGAAACTTTGATTAATTATGACATATGATGTTTGTGTAAATTTACTTAGAATTATAAAGGACAGTCATTGGATATTGCTTAATTATTACGTCTAGAAGTTTTGAACATAATTTCGTTTTTTTCAGTATAAGTATAACAACACAAATAAAAATGTAATCAATGTACAAATGATATATTTGTACATTATCCT